ACTTGTGGCAAGACAAGTGGGAACGTGGCAGGCTGGTAAAGAACGTTTGTGATTCAAACACAATTTCTTACCAGCTGGTTAAAGGCATCCAGGAGCAGTTGGTCCGGGCGACCGGGGCAAAGAGCCAAGGAGGCCAAGGCCAAAATTGAGGCCCCAGGGCCAGGTGGTCTGTCCTACCGCAAGCTGGACTCGGACTCTGCTGTCAGGACCTGCAGTCCAGGGGGGTGCTGTGGCCGGAGGCAGGAGGCGGGGCGGAGGCCGTGGGTGCACCAGCGCCACGCCAGCAGGAGCAGGGCCAGGGCAGAAGGAGGGCCAGTGCCTCTCCGTTCTGTGCTTTTAGGATTAGAAGCCCGTGTTCCTCTCCCAACCCCACCCCCACTCTTGTTCTTTCATGAGGTCTGTAAAAGCACTTAGGAACCTTCCTTGTACGAAAGTAAAGATTATTTCACTTCAGTGTTTTATTACTGATCTTCCCCCTCCATTTTCATTGTGGCCTGTTTCACTCTCCAGTTTTTCCTTAATGTGTTGCTTTCCTATTCTTGTGAACAATCACTCTGAATTATCGACATTAATGGAGAGAAGACTTCAAGGAGAGCAGTAATTAGATGAATTCTGTGGTGCTGTAGTGCTTTATAGATGGAAAGGCGATAAAGGAAGGTTTTTCTTAGCAGGGTAGGTGGTCACCTAACTGCCTGCAGCTCAGATGACAGGGACAGGCGTCCACAGGAATCGGGACGAGCCCAGCCTGCCTGCACTGGGGCTGCCTGATGCTCAACCAAAGCCATTTGTTTTGCTCCCAAACTTGCTTAAGGCGGGTGTACTTATAATCTCCCATCCAAGTACTAACCAGGCCCGACCCTGCTTAGCTTCCGAGATCAGACGAGATCGGGCGCGTTCAGGGTGGTGTGGCCGTAGACTGTACTTATAATCTCATTGCATAGTTAAATGTTATATAAACTGGCGAAGAGAGGGCAGCAAAAAAGATGCCATGTCCATGAAATCCAAGTTTAACGCCGTAGAAGGAATTGATAAAGTTAAGTCTCTCAAACTCTTGCTGTTGAATTGGGTGTGGGTGAGTCAAGATTGGGCAAGAAAAGGGAAAGAAAAGTAGAGGATTAATCACTGTAATCTTTGCACGTGCTCCCTCCATGGTAAGTAAACAACACAAACCACAGATCCTCCTGGGTGTATCTTCTTGCTATGAAGACTACAATTCAATAGCCTTAGCCCTACACCCAAAGACTGGTGATACCTTTACATTCATATGGATTTTAATTTAAATTAAGGTATTAATTTAAGGAAGCAATTAAGGTATGCGCATAACTTTCTACCACACTTTGATTAATTGTTTCAATTATGTTTCTAACTACAGATCTGGTCCAGGCCAGAGGGCCTTCATTCACCTTGAGTGAGTGGTCCAGCCCCAAACACCAGCTGATTCCCGAATGGGTTGATGTAACGAAGTGTGTGCACAGAGCTCTCAGCCTGCCTCTCTCCACGTCAGGAAAGGGCTGGCCTCTCGCGGGCTGCTCCGGCTGGGGCCAGTGGCCCTAGGACTTGCTGAGTGGCCAGAGGAGAGTGAGTAGTGGGGAGTGGGGCTGACCCAGGATGCCCCAAGTAGCACCACTCACAATCGCCCACCGTTGACTCTGAGGCTGTGCCATGTGATATCACAAAAGTAGCAGCTTCCCTGGTCATGGAAGACGAGGGGAAGGCCAGGAAGGAGGCAGCATCAGGCAGGGGCAGCGAGGGAACAGAACCCAGGGTCTGTGACTTCTCCCTCTATTAGTAAACAAAGCAAAACAGAATGCTCACTTGTTCTTCATCAGTTAGCATTGATTTCTTAATACAGGGGGGCCTTGACTTACTTCGTTCCGAGACCGAGCTCGTTAAGGAGCTGGTTAAGGAGCTCGTTAACTCAAATTACTCTATCAACTCAATGCAAAAAATCGGCCGAGAGACAGCTGGTATCTCAAAAAACTCGTTAGTCGGGACACTCGTAAGTCAAGGCCCCACTGTACTTAGTTGTGGTTACTGCCACAGCCATTACTACATTTCACCACTAGAGGGCAACAGTGTGTCTACAATGAGGGATTTTTGCAGAACCAAGGAATCACTTAGCATCAGGGCATTTTGGAGCTGGGAGAGATCTTAATCATTTGATTCACTGGCTTTCAATTTTGTTCAGCTGAGAAACCCATAGAAAGAACCACATTCTTCAGCCCCATGAACCAGGAGGTCACGGTTTGATTCCTGGTCAGGGCACATGCCTAGGTTGCGGACTCCATCCCTGGTGGGGGAGAAGGGGGCGGGGGGGGGGGGGAGGGGGCAGCCGATCAATGATTCCCTCTTATCATTAATGTTTCTATCTCTTTCTCCTTTCCTCTCTGAAATAATATATATAACCGCATTCTTCATAATGACCTAGTTCATACATATATATTTGAAACATTTTGAGGTACTACTTACCATATTTCTGCAATGTACCCTAATAGTTGGTATTCCAAATGATCTCAATAAAAACAAACAAAAACCACAAAACAACTGCGACCAACTAAATTGATTCCATAACCCACTAGTGGGCCATTCGTTTGAAAACTCTGACTTGGCCCCAGCCTCTGGTCTTACACAGGGACGTGCTGACCCCAAGGATGGAGAGGGATCCCTCCAGTTGTATTTTCACCCAACCAGCCACCTGCTCACCCTGGGGTCAGTCCTGGATGCACCACAGACATTGTGCAGCAACGGAGCACTCACTCTGAAAATGCACTTGCTAGGTCTAATCAAATAATTGAAACAATACCCCCTTCCCTAGGAACCAATCTTTAGATCACTTCACAATGGACATTCCACTTGCCTAGACCACAACCCACTTGCTAAGACCATTATCTCTCCCATCGGACTGCCCAGAATCTGGACCTGCATAGAGAATTCTCCGCCCAGAAAAAGCCCGCCAAAAGCTCTTTAAAAACTTCTGACTCCTGTCACTGGGGGCTGGAGCCATCCAGGCTCAGCCACCTGGTCTATGGATGACTGAATAATAAATTCATAATCCCTCACCATTCTGGCCTCGTGCATTCCTCCTTTGGTGACTTAACAGCACTGACTGGGTAAAGAATGCAAAACTGAGTTTTGGGGCCCTACCATTTTCACTTATCAATGCCATGACTGCCCTTGGAATGGAAGCAGAAATTCCTAAATCGCTACATTGAAAACTTCATGAGGGTGGGGTCGCTGTTCCTCACTAAGGCAGCCGAGTGACTGCTAAACTGAGTGAATCTCAGAGCCTTCCTAATGATCCCACCCCGATCTGGGTTAGGGCCATACTTACTATCTAGCCCAGAGCCTGGCACATAGTAAGTGGTCAATAAATGAATGGATGAATGGACTGCCCTCAGCATAATGGCAATTAACCTTTTTATACTTTAGAATTGGTGCTCAGATCACCTTATATGGCTCTTAAGAATAACTGGCACAGTGGGCAGAACATGGATTATTTCCATTCCAAATGGGAAAATAGCCGGAGAAGACTCATAGGACCTTCTCTGTAAGTTATGTGGCTCATTAGAGGCAAAGCAAGGGGCTGGAATGTGGGTTCCCTACAGTACCTCACCTGCTGCTCCCCCACTCACTCTCGGCCACCTCTTCTGCTTCTGCCACCCCCAAGGATCCTGCATGCTGTTGTCACAAGTTGAAGACACAGCCTGCCCCAGGCTGCCTTGATCACCCTGGAGCTGGGCCCTCTTTAGTGGTGATATTTGGAGGAGGCAGAACAATGGAGGAATATAACTTCACTAAATTCCTGGGAGAAACTGAAACCACTTTAGCATCTAGAGACTCTTGGCACTGAAGTCCCTAAAGACACCTGAGCTTGGTTTTCTGTAGGGCATCCTCCCTGCTGGAAACCCGGGAGCTGGCATCAGGAGCACCCTCTTGGGGAGGTGCCTGCTCTCTCCCACTTTGATACTAAGTTCTAAGGCTTTGTGTACTCACTCATCTGCTGGGCTAGTAAAACAACTTCCTTTTCCTCCCCAAGACAGCAAGGATTTTTAAAACGGGTGACACGAATAGGTTGCCTTTTCCTAGGAACGACTTGATTTCATCATTCGATACATGTAGCCACTCTCGCTGCAGAATTGGTCTTTGCGGAACCAGGGCTGAGCCTCCAGATGGCCTTTCCCTACCCCTGTGTCTGGCACCAGTTCGAGAACAATCTTCAACTAAAATACTACTGCCCCGCTTTAAAACTCTACCATTTACACACCACACTCAAGCCTAGATTCTCTGAGGCCGAGTCTGCAGGCTCTGTGGAATATCTGAGAATCAGTGGGAAGAGAAGGGTTACTTTGGGGGGCAGACTCAGGGTAGTTCTGTAACTTTGTTACCTTCTTGATGAAGAGAACAATGGAGCTCCACAGACAGCACAAAGCTACAGCCACTGCCTGGTAATCAGCAACCCAACAGCCAGCTGTAACGTTCTCATTCATCCTGTTCACGTGGAAAACAGCCCTGGTTCGCTCACTGCCATCAGATTAACGCAGACTCCGGATTACCAAGGTTCCTACCCAGGAAGATGGGTAAACTCCAACCACATCCCGGAGCCTTTGCCTGGTGGCCCGCAATGGTCAAGCCGGTCTGTCCGCGGCCAGGCGTGAGTATTGGCTTAGAATTTGGAAATCCCGCCCAGGGCTTCTGCTGGAGCCACTGGGTGCCGCGCCCGCTGTGGCCACCCCAAGTCTTGCCTTTTGGGTCGGTTCCTCAGTTTCCCCAGACACCTCGCCCAAGTATAGGAGACTCCCGGTGGAAAATGAATGGCCTCGCAAATGAAAGAACCAATCAGTTTGCCGCGGACTCTGAGCACCCACGCGCGCCTTCCGCGCCTGGATACCTCGGGGGCGGCCAGGCGCCAGCCTAGCCTCGGTCGCGGACCCGCCGCCAGGCGGCCAGGCGCGCGCGCCCAGGCGTCCCGCCCACCCGGTGCGTGGCGCTCCCGCACTCACCCACGCGCGGCCCTGCTGCACGGCGGCCAGCCCTCGCAGGGCGCTGGGCGAGCCCGCGCGGAAGTTGAAGAAGTGCAGCGCCGCGCGCGCCGCCCGCTGCAGCAGCCCGTGCGGGAGCTCGGAGTCCCGCTGCCACGCGGAGTCCTGGGGACCCTCGGGTGCCGCCGCCGAGCCCTGGGGACCCTCGGAGCCCGCGGGTGCCGCCGCCGAGCCCCGGAGGGCCAGCAGCAGCAGCAGCGCCAGCAGCGGGGCGGCGGGGCGCGGGCCCCCGGGCCCAGGGGCGGGCAGCGCTTGCGGGAGGGGCTGCATGGACGCGGGAGGGCTGGCGCTGCGCTCCACGGGCCGGGCTCGGAGCGGCGCTCGAGGAAATAAGGCTGCCGGGGGCCCCTCCCCTCCGCCCCCGGGCGGCCAGCGGCAGGGAGCCGGGTCCCGATGGGCCGCGCCCCCGCGGGGATTCCCGCAGACCCCGCGCCCCTGCGCCCCGCCCCACTCCGCCTGGGCAGCCGGTGGCGGGGCCTGGAGCCGGGACGCGGCGCCTGGGCGACGCGGGGTCGGGGACCTGGGGGCCATGGAGACTCCTCCCCGCAAGGGAGCGCGGCCCACTCGGCGCCACCCCGCGCCGCGCCTCCAGCCCGGCTCGCAGACCTAGCTTTTCTCCCCTGCGGTGGCTGCGATTTCGAAACCCAGGGTTTCACTGCCTCAGTTCTCCAGGGCTTGGCGCTGTGACCTCGCAGGGGGTGAAACTGGGGACGGGTTGAGAAGGGGCCGGCATTAGTGGGGTCCCTGGGGCACGGTGACCTTGGAAGGGGGCAGGTGGCTGGAGCGCTGGGGTCGCAGAGGCTGGAGTTGTCAGCAGGGCAGAGTCAGATAAGGACCGAGAGCCCCACTGGACTTTGAAGCAAGTAGGTCATCGATAACCCTGGTGCGAAGCCCATTGGCTGGGAGTGGAAGCCGGATTCCAGCGGTGGGGCTGGTGGGGCTTAGGGCACTGGAGGGAGCGCGGGTGTTGACTGATGTTTTTAGACACGTGGCAGTGAAGGGATGAGCTGGCCATTGTTTTTTTTTTTTTTTTAAATATATTTTATTGATTTTTTACAGAGAGGAAGGGAGAGAGATAGAGAGTTAGAAACATCGATGAGAGAGAATCATCGATCAGCCGCCTCCTGCACATCTCCTATTGGGGATGTGCCCGCAACCCAGGTACATGCCCTTGACCGGAATCGAACCTGGGACCTCTCAGTCCGCAGGCTGACGCTCTATCCACTGAGCCAAACCGGTTTCGGCTGGCCATTGTTTTAACCCACGGACAAGAGAGAGCAAGCCCAGCCCGGCCTGTGTGGCTCAGTGGTTGAGCTTCGACCTATGAACCAGGAGGTCATGGTTGGATTCCCATCAGGGCACATGCCTGGATTTTGGACTTGATCCCCAGTAGGAGGCGTCGTGCAGGAGGCAGCCTATAGATTCTCTCTCACCATTGAAGTTTCTCTCTCTCCCTCTCTCTCTCTCTCTCAAAAAAAAAAAAAAAAAAAAAAAAGGAGAGGAGGACCAGGGGTTAGAGGGCAGAGCTGGTACAGCTGAGCATTCCCAGCATCCATTTCTCCATCTCTCTTCATTTTGTTCAGGAGCCCACCCCTCCCTGACACCTACTGACTCCGCCCACTGCGGAGCTGAAGGAAGATCCTTTTCCTGGAGACCTAGCCTGTGCCTACAAACCCGGCTTGTGCCCTGACGGGGAATGGAGCTGTGACCTCCTGGTTCATAGGTCGATGCTGAGCCACTGAGCCACTCAGGTCAGGCTGGAGCTCATTTCTTATTAAGTTCATTGAAGTTGGAGTTTGTTTCTTGCCATCAATGATCACCTAACACAGACAGCTATCTCCTCAGAACCCCGTCCTCGTCCCCTCCAGAAGGGTACGGTGGTGGGCACTTGAGACTGTTTCACCTTCCGGTCTTATGAAGATTACATTTTCCTTAAGTTTATGTCAGTGCTTTGTCCCCTGTTGGCGTTAGGCTGCTTTCAGCGGCAAATATCAGGAAGACAGGTTAACACTGCGGCCTGTTCAGTGGGGTGGGGTGGGGTGGCAGGTCTCGGGATGGTTTGGTGTCTCCGTGGTTTTTGGAAGGGTTCAGGCTCTCTCCGCCCTTCTGCACAGCTTCCTTCAGCTGCTGGCTTTTTGTCTGTAGACTTGTTGCTTCGTGACTATAGAATGGCTGCCACAGCTCCAGACATCACATCTGATAAGTAGCAGAGAGTAGGTTGCCAGGGTGACAAGAGAGCTCTGTGTCATGTACCTGATTTTGTTTTTGTTTCTCCATCTGGGAAAAAAAAAATCTTTCTAGGACTTCTTTCCTCCAAACTTTCTCCCCACCAGAACTTCCCTATATCTCATTGGCCAGAACTGGGTCACACTGGCAAAACTTAGCTGCAAAGGAGGCAGGAAATCAAGTACCCACCTTTGTTCAGCCTCTGTAGGGTCTGGACTATAAGTTTGGGAACATATAACAAAAAATCAAATGACATTGGATTTAAAAAGAGAGAAACTTATTTGCCACATAAAAGAGGTTGGGATGGGGGTGGTAGGCGATGTGTGGTTGGTATTGCCAGGTCCGTGATGTTGTTGCCAGATCTTTTATCCCACATCCCAAAGGCATGCCCCCTGTGTTAGGGCAAGATGAGCTCTAGTCAGCAGCTCCGGACTTCCTACAAGTCCCACAGCACACTTCTGCTTATATCCCATTGGCAAGAACTGAGTCATATTCTTAGTTGCAAAGGAGGCTGGGAAATGTAGCCTTTATTCAGGAGGGGCATGTGCCAGGATAGAAGTCAGGACTTTGTTACTAAGGAAGAAGATTGTGTCTTACGTTGGTGTCCCAGAAGCGGGCCTTGAAACAAAGATTGCCTGCACGTGATTTCAGAAGGAAACACTCGCAGGGGAAATCAGAAGAAGAGTAGCAAACAAGGATCTCAGAGGAAGTCACAGGAAGGGAGACTTCACCTGACCTGCAGGAAAGCTTCGGAATGTAAATCACGCCTTAGAGTTGTCTCCACCCCAGCAGGGGATCTGGGCTTCCATACTTCTGTGTCTGTCAGTCATGGCTAGGGGCCACCCTGGGTGACAAAGCCCAGGCCCTTCAGGCTCTCTTTATGTGAGTGCAAAGAGACAGAAGGGCAGGACGGCCCTCCTGGGGAGTCACAGGTGCCTCAGGTTGGAAGCAAAAGCACACCAGATGGTAAGGTCAAAATCCAGGAAAGGGATCCCAGGGAGCCAGGCAGAGCCCCCATGGGGTCGCTGCAGGAAGGGTGGATAGTGGCAGGCAGGTAGTAGCGATCTCTGTTGCTAAGGTGGGGAAGGGGATAGGGGTCAGGGTCCAGGCACAGCAGCCAAATAGTGCCTGTGAGGTAGTGAGACTCCAGGAGGCCATAACAGGAGGGAGACAGACACAGGAAACACCAGGGGAACACGAGCTGCTGCCTGAGCACCAGGGGCTCTTCCAAGGCCCGCTGTTTTGTGTAGCGATAATAACAGCCATTGGGGCAGATATTGATCAGGAACGCATATTCAAACATTTTTAAATTCTAGCATTCATGCCTCCCCAGTGGGCAGAGGTGAGTTATTCACGCACACCTCACGCCGGTACATCCTCTAACAGTTGTTGGTGAGGTTCACGTGCGCTCATGTCTATGCATATGTGCAGCACTCAGGACAGTGCCTGGCCCACAGTAAGGGCTATCTATGTATGTCAGGGGTCCTCAAACTTTTTAAACAGGGGGCCAGTTCACTGTCCCTCAGACCGTTGGAGGGCCGGACTATAGTTTTTTAAAAAAACTATGAACAAATTCCTATGCACACTGCACATATCTTATTTTGAAGTAAAAAAACAAAATGGGAACAAATACAATATTTGTATTTGCATGTGGCCCGCGGGCCATAGTTTGAGGACCCCTGATGTATGTATCACGATTATTATTGCTATTAACTTGCCAATGTAAGAAACATCCAAACTTGTAAGAATTTTTATGAGTTTATTTGAGCCAAACTGACAATTGCCAGGAAGCAAAATCTCAACAGATTAAGAAAATGCTCCAGAGAATGGCAGTTACGCACTTGGTGAAATTCATTGGGGATGGATTGGGAAGGCAGGAGAAAGCCAAGAGGGGAAATCTCTAGGATTGCATAAAGTGTAAAATGAGCAGACATGTACTTCTTTTACATTTGTGGGAATGGGATAGCTCACAGTCAGTAAGTAACATGGTAGCAGTGGGAGGATCTGTCGTCTCCGCCCTGGTGCCATAGTAAGGGAAGTCACCTTGACATCCCAAAGGTATGTTCTCTTAGATGCAACAAGACAATAGACAGGCTCAGCTAAGGTAGAGAATGACCTTTGTCAGGATAGATACCAGCCTAGGACATGACTACCCACCAGGACTCCTTTTTAGTTAAGAAGTTTTAATTTTAGATCATCCTATGTGGTTACATTTGGCCTCTGAGTTTGAAGGACCTTGATGCAGGCCTCCCTGAACTTGTCAGGTTTAGTATGTGGCTCCTTTTTCATCCACAAACTTAAAAAAATTAGCTATACTGTTGAAAAGAATGCAATCAGCTGTGGATGTCTTTTCATAAATGATGAGAAAGGATGGTGAGGACTAAAAACTGCCAGGCCATTAAACGAAATCTTGGCTATTACTTGTAGCCTCCTTGACCCTAATCTTGCACTATTAGCAAGTCAGAAAATGTGTGCGACTCTGTAGTCTTTTTTTATTCTTCTTCTTGGCAGAGGTGCAGGTTGGTGGGGTTGGGAGGAGAATATGAATTATCAATCCTTGACTATTGAAAGCTGAATAGCTGAGCTTGGGTGTGACCGAGACGATCCTTATCTTCAAGCCTCGGAATTAGGGACACTGGTGGGGAAAATGCAGCTCACCTGGTTCTTTGGGTCTGCATCTTGCATGCTCTGCATTGTTCCGGTTAAACGAGCCCTGTGAACCTACATATTTTCCCTGCATATTTGCTGTGTCCCCGGCCTGTAATGTGTGTCCTAAAAACCCTGGGGGAAAGAACAGAGGCCACGCTTGATCGAGTGGGCTGCTTTCCTGATCTCTTCCTTTAGGTGCTTGGGACTCTTGGGGAATTTACAGGGTCCTAAACCCTGGGCCCATGAGCTGCCTGAAGCTCTTGCTGGCTGCAGCAAGTCCCCAAAGATGGTGCTTTGCTTTGGGAGGTAAGACCCAGGGCTTGGGACTTTCAGCATGATGCCTACACTCTCCATTGCAAGCAGTTCCAAGGGCCCCAGAATGCAGGTCTGGGCAGTGGTGGGGCAGCTAGTGATAGTTTCAGAATCTGTGAGGTTATGGAGAGAGCGTGTCTAGTCTGAATTCTTTGCGATGCACGTATGGAGACAAGGGTATTAATAAAAGAGACGTGATAGGGAGCAGTGGTTGCATTTATCTTGTCACCA